ATTCTACTATAAACTGTAGGTCCCTTAGTTACCATTAGCTGTATGTGCTATTAATTAACAGCAGTTGTGTCTAAGGAATAGTTCGGCCTTAGTCACTAACAAGACTACAAGATCGCCCCACTCATCCTACACTCATCTCCATTCTTACTTGGCTTAAAATACCTACCTTTGTATGGTCGCCATTTCAAAGAAAAAGTATTAAAAGTATTTATGTATCTGTTTGGGAAAAAATAGGATGACTTTTCTTTTAATCGTTTTTTAGGGTTGTTGAAAACTGAAATATGAAGTGTATTACTTATTTATACCACAATATCAAAATATATTATTAGTTTAGTTTAGCTGGCATGTTAAGTATAGAACTTTCTAGAAACAACTTTCTATGCATACTTAGTTGAAAACTTCATTAGGCGCAGCTAGTATATTGGACTGATACCAAAAACTTATCGGAAAAGTGCAATGTAAAAGTATTCCAATATTTATATGGTGTATTTTTTCTTTTGTAATTTCACCAAGCTTAGATTGTTGTTTGTAAAGTGTTCCCTAGAGGACAGTGTATAATTTTAATTATATGGACCAAAATGTAAATAAACCTTAAAAATATCCCCCTCATGGAGAAACACTTAGAGGAACATTTTTTACGCACTGAAACCTTATGGACCAGATATGAATCAAATTCTAAACTTAAGACTAGATTTAACTGTAGGTCCAAACATCAAACTTAGAGTAATACTAATAGACTAATGGTAGCATCCAAAGTCAATGGTTTCAGCTATAGAGGCTAACGCGAAAGAACAAACATCAGTCAGCTTTAAATCACAAGTGTGGACAGCTTCCGATTTACAGACCCTGATTTCTAATTGTCGCTCGGTTGTTGAAAACAAGTCAAACGATTCTTATTTGCCTTTTGCAAGGATCGAATTTAGCAGCAATTAATCTACTTTAAATTAATTAATTAATCCTTAACAAGTTGTAAATTTGCAATTAAATCAAGGAGGAACATTGGATCCATCAACGCACTAAAATTTAATCAGACATGAAACTGTTTCCAATTTCTCCATGGAGTTTGCACATGGAGTATGGAGCATGGAGTGTATGCACTTGTAGTATTCTGTCGACGATTGTAGAATAGCACAAGTTTGGCAGTTTGTATGTGTGCCATTGTTGAATGCGTCTTTATGTAAATCAGCACTTTAACTCCATACAACTTTAGCCAGCTGAGTTCACGTCACTCCCGCCAAATATACCTCTGACTCCCGCTAAAATGTTCGTTTACTGTGCAGGTATAGGCTACCAAGTTCGGTTTATCTTATAAACTTTTTTATCTAAACTCAGGTACCCATGCATTTTATTAATCATATCGTCTATCCCCAATACTTTGTTTGTCTAACAATGTTAGTAAATTACAGGGACGCGAATGGGGAAGACCTTCCGTCTTAAAGGGTTCATATCTTGAAAAACCCCTGTTACTTTTAGTTAAGTGACAACGGTGTCAATGTCATGGCCCAGTTGATCGGAGCCTATCGTTACAAACTATGACGCGGGTGTCCTCCAATGCCTTAGTCGACGGGTTTCAACTATGAATCGTAGATAATCTCAAATAGAACCCTATTAGTTAATACATGACACTAAGTAACTTCGAGTGAAAAAGGACGAAGAACCACCGGAGCCAGAAAGCGAGGGTTGATTTGTTTTGAATGCCTATGAACATCTTGTAGATGTTTAAACAGAACTGCAGAAGCTGTCTTAATAGTTTGTATATTTTAGAAATCATGATCCTATCCCGAGATGAGTAAGAAGAGGACTTTAATGTGTCTCAGCTGGTAAGGTAGTCACTATAGTTCGGCCGCTTAGAAAACGACCTGCGCGCTAATGCTAAACCAATGCTGGAGGAGGTCGCTTTCTAAGCGGCCGAACTATAGGCGTATGCCGTATAGGACTGTGGAGAGGAATTTATTTACCCTACAACAAGTGATGCAGTCTTCCTGCTCGTGAGTAGTTATGTAATGATTCCTTCGGGCACAAGGTGAGGGTGAGAGCCCTGAAATAGGGTACAGTCCTAGAACGGGGTACAGCCCTAGAACGGAGTACAGCCCCAAAATAGGGTACAGTCCTAGAATAGGGTACAGTCCTAGAATAGGGTACAGTCCTAGAAAGGGGTACAGTCCCAGAACGGGGTACAGTCCCAGAACGGGGTACAGTCCCAGAATGGGGTATAGTCCTAGAACGGGGGTCGTCAAAGTCCGGACACTCAGAGAGCAGTCTTCTGCAGTTCCTTTTCATAAAATCCGCCTATAATTTCTTCCCCATTTTGATCGGCAATCCTATAAGTAACCGGTCTAGTGTTTAGAATTCGTGCTATTGTAAATATCTCCGAAGTCCAGTTTTAACCCTATTTTTAACCCTATGTCGGACTGTACCCTATTTTGGGGCTGTACCCTATTCTAGGACTGTACCCTATTTCGGGGCTGTACCCTATTTCAGGGCTCTCACCCTCACCCTGTGCCCGAAGGAATCATTACATAACTACTCTCGTGCGTTTGGGTAAACTTCATCCTTTTTGGTCCTTCTTAATTCTCTTTAACACCGGGACAGTTTCATAATTTCGAAAGTACCCAGACCATCAAGTGCCACTACAACCTAAATAGAACCCTCGTCAAAGAGTTGTAAATGAAAGGTGTGCTCTGGGAAACTCTGGAGCTATAAGTCGGGTACACAGTTTGTGCAGATTTTTCAAGGAGTGCATTTTGATATTATCAGCTCACCTTTAGGGTCACCATTGAACTCCATCTGCTAATCGGTTCAGCTGCAACTGTGGCTAGAAGGAGTGGCCTTGAATATGGAGCCAAAAAGAATCTATTGGTCACATCCTTAAGACTTATGCGTGCTTACAGTATCGGGTTTCGTATCCGTATCAGTAGTTTAGTAAAATATAAACACAGATCGTGTTTTAAATATCCACTAATCCCACAACTTGCACGACGTCGTTGTAATCTACCATGTTACTTCCAGTTCGTAGGCGAGGGTCGCGTGCACGTCCAAACCGTGTTCCTATTAAAGAAATGAATTAATTAGTCCAAGCATACAAGTTGTGCCTCATTCACCAACACTAGACGTGTTCATTAATGAACCATGCCTTTGAAACAGAGCTTATCGTGTTCAATCAATTACAAAGTACAATACGTTATGAAGTTGTCACGAAATAGCCAAGTTAATTTGGAATGGGCTATTTTAGTTGCGGATGGAATATCTTGTAGTGTGTCCTTTTGGTGATATTAAAAGTTGCTGCTGCTAATGCAATTAATTTATTATTATGTGTTTCTAGTGGCTAATGTATTGAATCCAGGGCAAAAAGGACGTGGTTTTCCCGGCAAAACCAAATGAAATTTGAAGAGTTTTGACCACTTTTTCCTATATGGGTTTGTGATTCTTCTCTACAAAATTCCACTGCCTAGGAACCATCAAGTGAAAATAGTTGTTAACTATATTTTTTTCTTTCCATTGATACTTTGTTCGGAGGGTTAAGGTTAAAGTAAATATTTTTGACAATCCGAGGACCCATGTAGCTGGTGAAACCTAATATTTATAATCATCACATTTTATTTTGAACGATGCGTACAAAGTAGACCACGATAAAAAGGTTGGTCTGATCAAAGAGAGGGAAGAGTAGCAGTGTTTATAGTAAAGTTGTCCAGTTGCCATAATGCAGTGGACACGTTAAGAAGTGCTGTTTATTTAATGTCGTGTACTTCTATATCCCACTCAATTGTTGTTGTAAAGTTTTCGTTTGCGACCCAAATTACGGATTTTGCTTTGTTCTTCAGGCAATCCATACATTTGGTGAATACATTCAGAACAACAGGAAATATGTCATCCGCAGGAGACAAGTTACATCACAAAATGTCAAACGAGTTAGCAGCGGTAATAACAATATCCAACCCTCAGCTCGTGAACAAGCACTTGCTCTCGGCATATGAAGACGTTACAAACCCTTAAGACCTTTTTAGCGAATTTCCCTATAGGGAAGTAGCTATTACCGTAGGTCTCATGGTAAGACTTAGGCCCGGGACCGATTTACTTTTTCATTTTGATGTCCCCAGAGGCCAAAAACACCATTCGTTCAAATTTGTATATATGTATATATATATATATATATATATATATAGATTTATATATATATATATGTCCGTGAACACGATAACTTGAGTAATTTTTATCCGATTTTGATGACATTTGGTTTGAAGGTGTAAGGCGGGATAAACTTGAATGAGTTCGCGATCCAGCATGATCGGACCATGGGAACAGGGTTTTATGGGGGGTTTTATGGGGTAAAAATGGGGTTTTCTCACTTTTTACCCTCAAAACACAAAATTTCCCAATTTTTCTCTAAACCTTCTTAAAGAGCTTAAAAAAACAAACAATTCAGTATATCAAAGTGTTTTTGTACGGTTATTGGTTACGGAGAAAACTAAAAAAATGGTAAATTTAAAATTCCCATGTTATTCTTATGGAGAATATTGTAAAATGTTGTAGTTTGCTTGTTTATGGATATATTTTGATCAAAGTTGGCAAATTTATTTATTTTATAGTAAGCTATCAATATTTTACTAAAAACACACTACTTTATTAGTTTCCTTGTAGCAGCAAACCTAGGTACTCGTTAAACCTAATAATGTTATTTAAATAGATCAATTGAAAATCAATTCGGACAAATGGAAATTCGCTTAGACGGCAGGTTTGCTGCGGCGGGGGTATTTTTCTTTTCCACCTACAAAATTTACATGGGCCATTAGTGTATAGGGGATTATTTAACGTTAAGTTAGCCTTCTTTGTAACAATATGTTAATATTACTTTATTTTAAATGCATACAAACTGTGAATCCTAGATAACCTAAAATAGAACACTGTTAGTTAATAAATGTCAACAAATAGGGTCAACAAGTACGTTAATACATGAACATTTGTGTTGTCTGTTCCAGATCACGCAGGATGGAGCGGCGGGGGGTGCGGGTGAGGAGGGACGGGGTCGGTCGGGGGTAGACGGGGGGTATGGCGGGACCCGACCCGTCGGTGGTGAAATGGGACGACTCCAAGCCGACAGACCGGGACGCCGGGATCCGATGGGACGACAAGCCCGCAGACAGAGACTCGGGAGTGCGATGGGACGAGAGGACCGCGGAGCGCGACATGAGAGACCGAGATCCTTCGGTGGTGCGATGGGAGGACGCGAAGGAAGTGAGGTTTCCGTCCCCTCCACTCCCTTTGAACCTCCAGAACCGCTCACACTCCCGGTCCATGTCCTCCCTCCCTCCCGAGCCCTTCATGATCATGCGGTCGAAGGCGCTGAACCGCCGTGTGTGTATCAACGTGGGTGGTGTGAAGCACGAGGTGTTGTGGCGGACCCTAGAACGCCTTCCACACACGCGCCTCGGCCGCCTCCGAGACTGCAACACCCACGAGGCCATCACAGAGCTGTGTGACGACTACTCGCTCATAGACAACGAATACTTCTTCGATAGGCATCCCAAGAGTTTTTCATCCATCCTGAACTTTTACCGGACCGGAAAGCTCCACCTGGTGGACGAGATGTGTGTGCTCGCGTTCTCCGACGACCTGGAGTACTGGGGCGTGGACGAGCTGTACCTGGAGTCGTGCTGCCAACACAAGTACCACCAGAGGAAGGAGCACGTCCACGAGGAGATGAGGAAGGAGGCGGAGTCCCTGAGGCAGAGGGATGAGGAGGAGTTCGGGGAGGGAAAGTGTGCACATTACCAGCAGTTCCTGTGGGACCTTCTGGAGAAGCCCACCACGTCCATAGCAGCCCGGGTGAGTCATACAGCTGACCATTCTCTTCCTCGGGTCCTACCAATGATTGACCCTTCTTACCTTTAAGGCTCTCTATTGCTTTACTATACAGGCCTCTCGGAGAACCTAATGGGTTGACAGTTAATAGAGAAACCTATTGCTAAATAGAACATTGCCAATACAGTACTTTGTACATATCAAATTATTTAATTAAGCGTCTACAGTCACACTTTATACAGTGTCGTGGCTTTCTGTGTAAAACCGTGTCATTCTACAGGACAGGTAACATGGCACGAAGATTCAGCTTCATTGCAGATGGCACCGAAGTAGTTCTCCGTTTCTACTTTAAAGATGGCCATCTGCAACGAGGCCAACATGTCAGATCAAAATACCGGTAAAACTACATCTTTTACCCCCGAAAATCACAATATTGTATAGTATATACAACTTTTAATCATTGAATCAACTCTGTACAAATGAAAATTCAGATGATGCCCATAAACGATAATTCTACTACCTTATAACGTAAATACATTTTTCCCCAAATATGCCAAAAAAGTAAAAAGTAGTAGGTATCAATGTATAACATAACATAATAGGCCTAACTACAATAGAAAATGTTTGTACCTATACCCTCTTTTATTTTTGTTTTGCAACTTTTCTAGGAAGTGTTTTAGTTTTTTGCATTTATTAGTTTCATTTTAAAAGTCGGTCGACTGGCTTGACTAGCAATTGACATGTCGGTGAAGTGGCCGCCTCCTCTGGTATAGACCGCGCGTGTTATGGGTCTCTTTGCATTAACATAGCTCATATTCAAAATAACAAGTTTTATTTTAACACAGCTGGTATTTTAATTTAAAGTGTCCGGCAATAGGCTTGACTAGCAAGTAATTGGTCAAATTGTGCACGCCTGAGAAGTATATCTATAATCTCACATGGGCTCATTAACACGGCTAAATGTTTTATTTTTAAATATCGGTCAACTGGTTATCCTATTAATTGGCATGTCGGTCAAATGGTCAACCTGTTAAATAAACCCTTAATTATATGCATCACGTTGAATTAGCGTTCCTTCGAATCAGAATAAATCTCACATTTGCTCATTAAGACGGCAGAATGTGCTATTTTTAAATATCGGTCAACTGGTTATCCTATTAATTGGCATGTCAGTCAAATGGTCAACCTATTAAATACACCCTTAATTATACGCATCGCGTTGAATTAGTGTTACTTAGACTCCAAATAAATCTCACATGTGCTCATTAACACGGTTGAATGTGTTATTTTTAAATATCGGTCAACTGGTTTGTCTATTAATTGGCATGTCGGTCAAATGGTCAACCTATGAAATACACCCCCAATTATACGTATCGCGTTGAATTAGTGTTAAGATTCAAAATAAATCTCACAGGTGCTTATTAACGGCTGTATCTCATTTCCATGCAATTATGGCACGAGTGGCAACCCTGTGGCTGTAAGGGAGGGTATATTGACGCGGTAAAGTAATTTCCTGCGCGTAGGGTGGCAGCCCTGATTGACTACAGCGCTCCACATCACTGTGCTTGTAATTATACTGTCACACTTCACTAAGCTTCGCCCCCCACCTCCTCTTACTCTTCATCGGACGGATCTGTTCTTGAGTTCTTGATTGTTTTCGTTACCTGTTGTCGTCGCTACAACATGTTTTAAATTAGTGTATTGAAAAACAATCCAATTTTCTTTGCAATATGATAATGACTAGGTAGTTATCATAGTGCTCTCTCTAAATCTGAGGGTTGCTAATTCGATCCTGATTTATTTATTAGTCAGAAATAATTTGGCATTTTACTGATAACAAAGAGTTTACCCGAGTTTGGACGGTTCCCTTAACATAATTATTGAAAAATATCAATTTCGTTAGAGTGAATATGTAACTTTGATCAAACTTTGCCTAGTTGTACTTGGTTACGTCACCGGTTCAGATCTCTAACCTAACCGAAAATAAAAGGTTTTACTAACCAACTGATTATTTATAGGCCTAATATGAAAAAATTTGAGGAGCGAGCTGGTCTAGTGGTTAGAGCTCGGGACTTCGGTTCAAGAGGTCCCGGGTTCAAATCCCACCAAAACACCATTGGATTTTATCTAAGAGATAATGCCGCAACGCCTAGGTCTAGCCTTAAGTAATGTGAAAAACAAGCACAGGCTCGTGCCTAACAAACAATCCTAGGACAATAAATATATACATATATGAAAAAATAAACACAACACTTAATCCACGCTTCTGTCAACAGTGGAAAAATAATCTTTCAGATTATTGTTTAAGTATTATGTTTGCATTCGAATCTAAAGCTTAGTAATCACTGTAGCGAGGAGTAAATATTTTAAGGGCGGGTTTTCTTATTTCCCCAACTCAACGAATAAATTCCACTTTCCAGGAGGAAGCAATGTCCAAATTACTGTAGTGCGTGGAACGTGACAGGGTTTTAAACCGGAATGAAGCAAACCCGCAGTTGCTTAATCGTTAGTATAGAGCGCCGAGGAAAGTGTAGAAGATTTCAAAACATTCAGGGTATTTTTTTTTATATAAAACATTTAAACTAGCCATTTATGGGCGAATAAGTTTAATTGTTGTTTAACTTTATATTAGACATTATTAGACATTATATTAGAATGTCGGAATATAATCTCCAAATATTAATTTCACTCTTAAAAGTTTTTTCAGATCAGAATTTGTATTTTAAATCCTTAAAAAACATTTTTCCAAATGTTTATTTTATCTTACAGATTACATTTGCCAATACATCTTATATTTGCCCAATAATGTACTTCGTGATTGTGTATTACACAACTAATGTACCACCATTAGATTTTATATTACACTAAAACTATGGGAATGTACTACAGACTCCTTATTTTGTAACCCTTGATTTTGAGGGTCACCAATCCCGCAAGCAAGGACAACAAATTTAGGAGTTTAAGCACAGAATATATACTACTATTACCTTAATAGAAGTAATAGGTAATAGAAGTATATTTTCTGTGGTTTAAGAGAGCTCGCTCCCCTATTGGGTTGCTAAGTTTTGCCAGGTTATGTTATGTTAGGTTATGCTAGGCTATGTTAGGTTTTGTTAGGTTATGCTAGGTTATCTTAGGCTATATTAGGTTATGTTATAAGATTACTAACCTATATTACTTCGCAAACACAATAATAATTTCAAAATCAACTTACTGAAATTCTTCAACCCTTGAGTTCATCAAGGCCTTACAACAGTAAAATATAACAATGTGATGTGACGAAAACCATAATTTTAAAGACAACATAATTACTGTATTTTTATCTCTTACATTTTCTTCAGTAAAATCAGCTGTTCGATTTCACAAACTTACTCGACTCGACTGTTTCTTTTTGCCGAAAGAAACTTATCACCTATGAAATATATATCAAAAACAGCCGTTTTCTTACAATGTCATGGTTTATTATTTAGTCGAAATGGTGTGGAAGACTACTATGGAGAACTGTTGCATCCACTATTGATCGTCTGTCTGGCGTGTGCGAGGGACTTCACTGATAAGAGCCGCTGGACACGCAACTCGCTTATCAGTTCACCCTTATCACGTGGTTGATTGGCCTAACTGAAGGTGTTTCGGTGCTTCACATTCACTACTTGGGTCTTTAGGCCCTAATCCTTACTACTTTTGAATTTGTTTATTGAAAAATGTTTAGGTTTCTCTTTTTTTCCTCTAGGATTGATACTACAAATAAATGTACTTTGGTATTATACCGACCACACTGATAAATCGACTTCCAAATAAGATTTTAATTAGTTTAAATAACAAAATCTTACTAACCTAACCCAGCCTAACCACCCTTAGGCTAGGTTAAGTTATAATAATTATGTAAGGTCGTCATAATACGTATGTAACCAAATAAAACATTTTAAGTGGGATTTTTAACGAATAGTAATTTGTAAATAACGAACCTATATTCGATTTTTTACATACATAGTGTACAATTAATTGTATAAAAATCATAAACAAACACTGGTTTATAAATTTATCAGTCTTGCCAGGTCTGACTAAATACCTCTACTTAATTAATAGCTAAAATAAATTTACAAACAAAAAATAATATACGAAATTTAGAATAAATTGATTTATGTTATCTATATGCAAAAGAAAATATCGGGGCTCCAATGCAATGCCTGTTTGGAGGTTCCGTTTTGGATTTTGAAATTTTAAAAAATCAACTTTAAAAATTAGATAAGTAAGTAATACAAAACCAATTTCAGTCGTTTTACGTTAAACACTTGCTACGAAAATTTGTGATATGGTTACGTGACCAGTAGGAAAAGTTAATTTTTTTTGTAGATGAGTGGTAGATGGCGCCACTCATCCTTCACTCATATTTGGGTTAAAATACGCACATAGTGGCGTCCCCATCTTAAATAATTGATAATTTATTGAAGGTTAGGTTATGTTAGAATTTTGCGAACCTGTTACACGATAATTATTTTAATTCCAAAACTATCAAAACGTTAATGAAATCATAATTGCATTTGCAGATTATGTAGCCTCATTGTTAAACCAACCGAAACAATGGCCTTGGCAAGGATCGACTTTGGATACAGCCTGAATGGGTGGTTTCCTGATAAAACTGATAAGAAACACGGCAACTTCTTATCTGGCCGGTAGCTGTTCACCGATGCACTTACATTTGCATTTTATTGTCGAGTGCGCAAAATAACTAGCAAAATGGCCATCCGCAATGGTATATATCTTACAGTTGCATGGGTTACACTGCAAGCCTTTCATATTATCAAATCATTTGTGAAGATTTCTTCTTTAAAATAATCGTGAAGGATGGATTATTAGTTTTAAAAATGTTTGTGTATTTGTTTGCCATATATTTTCAAGAAGAGGGAAGTCACTCTTTTACAGTGCGCCGCGGCGTTTAGTTTATGTTAGGTTAGGTTCAGTTTATTTTATGGTAATGTCAAACAAGGTACTATTTACAAAATCTATAATTTTCTAAACACAAG